TGTGTGTCTTACTGAGTGTGTGTGTGTTAGTGAGTCTGTATGATGTCTGTTAGTGAGTGTGTGTTTGTCAATGAGAGTGTATGTTTTGTAAGTGAGTGTGTATGTATGTCTGTCGCTGACTGTGTCTCTGTCAGTAAACGTGTGTGTCTGTTAGCTAGTGTGTATGCGTCTGTAAGTGTGTGTGTGTGTGTCTTCAGCACTTACCTTTCTCCAGCGCCGGACTCCCTTGGCACTGAGGATCCCTCAGCCTCTCAGCTCCGAATGCGACCGCGCACGCATTCAAACCGCCCATAGGAAAGCATTACTCAATGCTTTCCTATGGACGTTCAGTGTGCTCCTCTAGCGGCTGTTTGTGAGACAGCCACTAGAGGCTGGATTAACCCTCAGTGAAACAGCAGTTTCTCTGAAACTGCTATGTTTTCAGCTGCAGGGTTAAAACTAGAGGGACGTGACACCCAGACAACTTCATTGAGCTGATGTGATCTGGGTGTCTGTAGTGGTCCTTTAAAGGACCACTATAGTGCCAGGAAAACATACTCGTTTTCCTGGCACTATAGTGCCCTGAGGGTACCCCACCCTCAGGGACCCCCTACCGCCCGGCTCTGGAAAGGGGAAAAGGGGTAAAACTTACCTTTTTCCAGCTCTGGGCGGAGAGCCCTCCTACTCCGATACTCCTCTTCTCCTCCCCGTCGGCTGTATGCGCACGCGCGGCAAGAACTGCGCGCGCATTCAGCCGGTCACATAGGAAAGCATTCATAATGCTTTCCTATGGACGCTGGCGTGGTCTCACTGTGAAAATCACAGTGAGAGGACAGCCGCTAGAGGAAATAGGGGAAGGCTTAACCCATTCAGAAACATAGCAGTTTCTCTAAAACTGCTATGTTTTATGAAAATGGGTTAACCCTAAGTTAAGAGCACCCACCTACAAGTTTATGGCCTGGGGTGCCTAGAGTGTGGTCCTTTAAGTGTGTGTGCATCTGCATGCACTGGCTTATTATACCGCTGGTGTCGCAGCCCCCAAAATCCCTCTGGGCGCACCAGGTGCCCACCGGCCATGTGTGCTGCTGCCTGGGTCTGCTAAGCTGGAGTGGGGGCCCAGATCAATTTTCGCGACCGCCCCATGGGTCATGTGTACGCCACTGCACACAGGCACACACACACAGACTGCTGAGTCCATACACACACACAGACTGCTGAGTTCATACACACACACAGACTGCTGAGTCCATACACACACATGACTGCTTGAGTTCATACACACAGACACACACACACAGACCGCTGAGTCCACACACAGACTGCTGAGTCCATACACACACACACACACACACACAGACTGGTACCCATACACACACACACACACACACACAGACTGCTGAGTCCACACACACACACACACACACACACAGAGACTGCTGAGTCCATACACACACACAAGCTTCCTCACTAGCAGAGACACACACAAGCACTACCTGTCACTGGAGGCTGTTGCTGGGGGTCAGACAGCCATCTTCTGGCCTTTCCAGCAGCAGCAAGGGCTGCTGCTTAACGGCGGGGCTTATGTTTGAGAGGCGGGGCTTCATTTGGGGGCGGGCCCTGTGCCAGGGAGCCTGTCAGTGCTCCGTTCCAGCCCTTCTGTCCTGCATTCCCTCAGGCTGTAACAGACTGTTACAGTCTGAGGGAATATAATTTAATAACATGGCCAGCAAGTTGCCGGCATTTGGGGGGGCACAGCATGATGTAGAGGGGGCCATGGCCCCCTCTGGCCCCCCCCCAGCGACGCCACTGTCTGTTCCCAAAATTGAATGTGAAAGCACCAATTTTTATCCAGACACTGAATGCATCCAGATGATCGCTTGTCTGTATTTGGCTTTAGTAAATATGAGAATTGCCATTGTTATTCAGCCATTTTCACTGTACTCTGTCCATCACACACACAGACTGCTGAGTCCATACACACACACACACAGACTGCTGAGTCCATACTTTCATACATTCTTTGGGCACATAATGTTGCTGAACCTAGACCTGACCAACTACAGTAACCCCAGATCACAGCACTGCCCCAACAGGCTTGTACAGTAGGCATTAGGCATGATGGGTGCATCACTTCAACAGTCTCTCTTCTTACCCTGATGCACTCATCACTCTGGAACAGGGTAAATTTGGACTCATCAGACTGTTTCTTCCATTGCTCCAGAGTCCAATCTGTATACTCCCTAGCAAATTGAAGCCTTTTTTTCCGATTAGCCACACTGATTAGTGGTTTTCTTATGGCTACACAGCTATTCATTCCCAATCCCTTGAGTTCCCTTCCCTTTGCATTGTGCATGTGGAAATGCTCTTACTTTCATTATTAAACATAATCCTGAGTTCTACTGTTGTTTTTCTACAATTTGATTTCACCAAATGTTTAAGTGATCGCCGATCATGAGCAATCATGATTAGAGTTGAGTGGACACCTTGATGTTCAGGTTCGCCAAGTTCGGCCGAACTTCGTGAAAAATTTCGAGTTCGGATCGAACTTGACCCCGAACTTGACCATGAACCCCATTGAAGTCAATGGGGACCCGAACCTTTGGGCACTAAAATGCCTCTGAAAAAATCCTGGAAAGGGCTAGAGGGCTGCAAAAGGAAGTAAAATGGGGGTAAGAGTAGTACAAGTGCCCTGCAAACAAATGTGGATAGGGAAATCACTTAAAATATCATAAAATAATCAGCCGCTTAGTAGATAACTCCCTAATTCCCACGGTATTAGGGAGCTATCTACCAAAAGGCTGAAAAACCTAAATTGGTCCTTCAGCCACATTTACTAATACTAAGTTAAGATTACTTAGTATTATTAAATTCAGTCCCTACTCGCTATACCTCAAGTAGGGGCATGTCTAGTAAACCTATAGTAAAACCTATTGGCCCCCACCCCTGAACGGCAGGTGGGGGCCCTAAAGTAAAATAAGGGGGGGTGACCTATTGTCCTCCCCCCGGCTCCCACCCCTGGGGTGACCTATTGTCCTCCCCCCGGCTCCCACCCCTGAGCAGCGGATGCGGGGCCTAAATAACAATGAGGGGGGGACCTACTGTCCTCCCCCCGGCCCCCACCCCTGTGCGGTGGGTGGGGGCCCTACATAACAATGAGGGGGGGGGACCTACCTACTGTCCTCCCCCCGGCCCCACCCCTGCATGGCGGGTGGGGGCCCTACATAATAATGAGGGGGGAGGGACCTACTGTCCTCCCCCCCAGGCCCCCACCGCTGAGTGGCGGGTGGGGGCCCGTAAATTAGAATAAGGGGGGGACCTATTGTCCTCCACCCTGGCCCCCACCCCTGAGCGGCGGGTGGGGGCCCTAAATAAAAAAATAACCCCTACCTACTCCCTTCACCCTAAAAATAATGAGGGGGGACCATTAACTAAGTACCTGTAAAAAAAAAAAACTTAACATTTGATGTCTTCTTTTTTCTAAAATCTTCTTTTTTCAGCCCCATAAAAGGCCAAATAAATAAAATGACCGTTGCAATTAAAAAAATGTAAAAAAAACCCGAGCGCAAAAAAAAAGAATCCATCTTCACTCATGGAGGGCTCCGCGCAGACTGAGCTCTGCAGGGCAGGGGAAGGCTTATAAAACCTTGCCCCGCCCTGCAATTAGGATAAGAACACTCTGATTGGTTGCTTTAAGCCAATCAGAGTGCTCTGTGTCATTTTACACAGCGTGGGAAAATTCTTTGGAATTTTCCCACGTTGTGTAAAATGACACAGAGCACTCTGATTGG